TTTTGTTTCATTTCCCTCACCCCTGCTGCTAATAAGCTAGGACATTTTGGTTTAACTTTAAACCCCACAATTCAGCTCTGTAAGGCTACACACTGCTAAAAGGACAGTCATCAGGTGTGTTGACTGGGGGAACACTCATGTCACACTGAATAATCAGGATTATTAATGGGGATGACAACAGTACAACCAGCCATGAAGAGAGCTTTGCAGTTGCTTTCTTCATGACATTACTAACAATCATTGTCCTGTCCCACTCTGCAGTGACACTGTTCTCAGTGGATAAAGGATTAACCTCCATGGTGATGTATGATGCTCATGTCCTTCAGCTGAGAATGCAGCAATGTTGGAAGTCATCAGCTGAAGCAGTGCACTGCTGCACCACTCTACACCCATTGAAATCTTCATTCCTCTAAGGAATTCCTTTGGGACTGTTTCAATTATTCCTCTGAATTAGCACTAAACAGAATGGCAGCTATTCTACATCACTTCAGAGGTGTCCTGCCTCTTTCTTTCTCTAACTAAAGGTGAGACTAAATCCACCCCAGCTCAGGGCACTGCCAGAAAATACCTCCTGAAAAACACTCACATGGCAACGTAGAGTGTACACTGTCCTTCTCTCTCCAATCATTTTGCATTTGGTGGTTTTAATTCCACTGCTCTGTTACCATTTACAACATATCAGTGTCCTTTACTTTCTTAACAAGAAGACAATTTTATTGTTGCCTGTGCATCAGTGTTTAGATGTTTTACTTCACTGAAGAGTTACTCTGTCCATTTGATCTGTCTCTTACAACAGTATCCTATGGCTCACAGGGTCTACCCAGCTGTCTGCCAGGGAGTTTAGTAGAGTTACACACTGCACGTTTGCACGCATAAATAACACTGTGAATTAAGAGTTTGCAACTCAGTACACATACGTTCTGCTAACACTGCCTTCACTGGGCTCTGTGTGTGGCAAATCCAAGAAAATCAGAGCTCTGACACCTCCTACTAATTCAAAGAGCAGTTAGCACAAAGATTGGAAGCTTTATCATTCTCCCTGTTTTTGCATTCATTTGATAATGCTCTTAAAGTTGTTGGGAATCTCTCTCCCTTCAAAAGTCCCTTTAACTCTCTTCAGGCAATGAGTGTCTAAGGCTAGACCTAGCAGAGCCAGAAATAAAGTCACTCTCACAGAGTCAGAATGAGAAACCCATGGCTTTATCACAAGGGTAGGAAGGGCAAATTTAAAATAAAACAGCAACCACAAAAACCCAAAAAGATAGACATTCTCAGTTTCTGTTTGTACAAGTCTATGGAGCTGCAGAGCCCAGCAGGGACCACTGACCAACCTCAGACTTTTGTTGCAGCCTCCAGGTACCCACAGACATCAATCAAGTTTGAATGGAGGTTGTCCAGTTTGTAACTAAGTGGTTGCATGACTGAGAGTCAAAGCACAGGAAGCCAAATAGTTCCCAGCTCACTTCTTTCTTTCTTCATATCAGTTTCAGAACTGAGCATTAAATAAAAATTATTCAGTGTACTGCCATCATATAAAGGGCAGATAGGAAGAGAAGAAGGAGAAAGGAGCCTAAAGTGAATATCAAAGCCTCACACAAACAAGGTGTAATGAAGGGAAGCAGCAGCCCATTTTTCTTCCTTCAGCACGCGGTGTGTGAGCAGTGCCTGCAAGCGTGCATGGCTTGTGCTTCCTATTAACAAGGTGCACGTTAATAAATTTAACTCAGACAAATTTAACCATCCTAGGGCCACATTAATCAAAAGCCTGACAAGAGCAATCTGAAAGAGGTGAGTAAGGGAAATAAAGCACAGCTGACACAGAGGATGCCATGCCCTCACTGTCCCTGGGCCTCTCCCACTCCATCAGCACCTCCAGTACCACAGTAACTCCTTCCCACTGCACTCCTAATGGGCTGATCCTGCTGCCTTCCCAGTACTTCTCACCCACCCAATGCCTCTTTATCTGTAACCTTTCCTACTCCTCATGTTTTTAACTAGAGAAGGATTTAGAGTACTTAAGTACAGTCATTTGCAAGAGCTACGAACTCCTGGTGAGATTTGTGTTTTACCTGTGCCACCTGCATTGTCGAAAAGAAACTCTCAAGGTGCAGGTTAAATGTACAAAGGAGAAATAAATTTGATAGGAAATCAAAATGGCTATAGCTCATACAAACTATGAATTGGCCAGAACCAGAAGGAAAGAACACGGGCTATCAATTTGTATTTATTACCCATGTGCCCAGTTGCCCAGTCCTGGAGCTCCACGTCACTTCTCAGGCTGAAATACACATGCATGGAGACTGTACAAAGCAACGGGAGTTGTTACAGAGAAATCTTCCACCCTTTGGTCCCTTCATATTTAGCACTAAGTTGTTGCTTTTGAGTTATGTTTTTAGCATGGAAAACATTGACAAGTAGGTCCTTCCACCAGCCAAAACACTTCACTGAGAGAAGGGTGTGTTAAACAAGATGAGGAAACTGCGAAGTAAGCGCTGATCACAGCCACAAAGCAGCACAAATTGCACTAAGTGTGTCCCCAAAAGCCGTAATTATCCAAGTTACTTAAAGAAAATAAGCGCATACGTGATTATTCTGATTTGCCTAGAGGCATCCCCACAGCATAAAACATGGTGTGCTGCCTTGCTGTTCTTCCTCTTGATGAAACAATAAATATTTTCATCACTTAAGTGTATTGGTGTTTACTTTTATAGTCTTGGAAACTTGAGACAAGCTCTGTTGCCTTGACAATGTCTTTCCCCCAAACAATTTCTTTTTCAGTTAGACAACTGGGTTTTCTATGTGTTCTGTTTTGATTGAGTTCCACTGGTTCATGGATAAATCTAGGAAGTCTTCAAACTTGTTGTATTGCAAGGCTTCAGAAGAAGGGTTTAGTGGCACATCATTTCGTGGCATTTCAGTGAGAACTGCAAGCTCCCCTTGGCTACAAATATTATCACAAATGAGGAGATATTTATTTCTCTTGAAAATAAAGAGGACTTGAGCCACATAATTGCAATTTGAACTCAGATGCAGTATATTACAACAGTCTGAAACATTTGGAAGTAGTATCTGTCCAAACCATTCCTAGACACTTTATGAATCTTTCAGCAAACCTGTGCTGAATAAGCAAGCCAAGCCTTGACTTCATAGACAGGTTAATGGCCTTTGAAAACCTGCCAGACTCTCTTTTAACACCACAGTAAGCAGTCTAATTTACCCTGAGAATACAGTGCTCCAGAAAATGGCAATGCCTCCTAACATTGTCACATTTATATAATGATACTTCCTTGAAACTGCTTTTTTTTCTTTTCTGTGACGAAACACACCTTTCAGAAAGTCCTCTCAAAGCCAAAGTTTAAGTTCAGCATTTAGGACATTCACTCATCATATGACTGACTCACTCCGAGTCCTTGCTTTGAAAAATCCAAATATTGACCTAGCTTTTCTTTGTACCAGCATTGGAAAGGCCTCCTCACTTGGGGAGAAAAAAGTGTTCACTGCATGTCTCTTCCAGATGGCTTCAATCCTCAAATAAAATATTCCAATTTATTTTCTTTCAGTTGGCCCCTTAAGACCTGCTACTGCAGTGTAAATAATAGTGATATATAATAATACTGATAATAGCAACACCAAAAATCCAATTTTCTCTTTGACACTGCCTCCAGTTTCCACAATTAAAGCTCAGTGTGTGCATTCATGTTACAAATTCCCATGTAGCCTGCACTTGGCTATTTTTTGTTAATATTTCAACCTAGAAAAGCATGTTCATGATCATCAATTTGCTAATTCAGGGTAAAAGCTCAATTTGTAATAAAATTATTATAATAAAAAGGTATGAGCTCCAGATGATTACACTGTAATGGCAGTGTAACCACAGTGACTGAACTAAACCTGAACCAAAAAAGATAGCAATAATTATCACCAGCTCCAATATTTGAGCTTTCTTTTAGTTTATGCATGTAGAATGGACATTATGAGGAGTCCACTCAAATAGCTCCACATAACCCTGAAATGAGAATTCTGCAATGAGAAATTTTACCATGTCACTGAATCCCTTTGGATACTGCTAGACTAGTATCTAAGTGAGGTAATCAGATCTATTCGCTAAACATCCAAAAATGTCTTAAGACAATTTAAATACACACATTTCCTCAAAGTTCTCAACCCATGTTACATGTGAAGAGTAGAGATTAAAAAAATAAATAAATAAATCACTGTGTGCCTTGTTCCTTACTCCAGAAAAAAGTTCAACCTAGATATAAGTAGTTAGTCATTTAGGCTCTAAAGCTGAACCTAGCCCAATGTGGTGCTAATCTGAATCTTCTTATCACTTGCTGTTGGGTTACAGAAACTTGCCTAACTTAATCTTGTTCATCAAGGCCACCGAAGGTCTAAATCTTTGGCTTTCACAATGAAAAATAACCATCTCTAGATATAAAATGGGAATTATAATATTTACCATTAGATAATACATCATCAGTTAGGTCTCAGATAGAATGCAGAGAGCTATATTGTGTCCAGATGGATCTACTGGGCACACTGCAGGAGCTGGAATTTCACCAGAACACTTCAAGTGCTGCTCCAGCTAGGAACAAGTTATCTTGTACTCTTTTTTTTTTTTTTTGCAGGTTTTAGAATTCAAAATACATAAATCATTTCAATATGGAACATAACATAAAAAAAAAAAAATTCTTGTTGAATTAGTTACTTGAACACATTTTCTTTGTGGTAGGTAATATTTGATATTGAACTTTGCAATTGTTTCAAATAATTAAAGAGAAATTTGAGGTGCAAAATGATGTCAGTTCTCCTCCTTTCTCCATTCAAGCCTGTAATTTTTTAAACGCATTGTAATTGGCTATTCCCCATATTTAGATTTCTTTTTCCAAAATGAGAAAGACAAGAAAAATCAGCATATTCACAAAACAGGTTGTCATTGTCACTGCTGACATGAGCACAACTCACCAGCATCTTTTTTAATGCTTCATTTGGCTACTTACAGAATTGCTCCAGGTCGTTTCTTTTTTTAGATTCTGGCATAGCAGTGATTGTGAGCAATGGGCATGGATTTCCTCCCAGTGTCTGGCAGAGTGTCTGCTGCCTCCAGTAAACCTTCTTAGGGTTCCTATTTTGTTCCAGAATATCAAGATGGGACTGAAAATGAAGCAAGGAAGCAGATTTATAAGGGAGTTCTTGGTCTATAAATTCTGATTTTATTCTACTAGCTGTATATTATTATTGATACTAATTTCATATCTTGCTAACTTCCCGGCTCCTCTCTTCTGCCAGTTAATATCACCATCTTTTGCATCTCACAAATATGCACAAGCCATTCACAATACATTCCAATGCACTGAAGCTACACAGAATTATTTATTCTTATATCATGGTCTAGTTGAAGTTGTCCCTTCTCTTTGCAGAGGGGTTGGACTAGATTATCTTTAAAGGTCCCTTCCAACCCAAGCAATTGTATGGTTTTACCTGAACAGTTCCTAGGTGCTTCTCTTATTATCGTAAAGAAATTTCTATGCATACATGAAATCCAAAAGAGAAGCATCTACTCTTTATATTTTAATAGGTGTTGTGTAGAAACACGAGAAAACTCACCATTTTTGAGCATTTATAGAACTGATTGGTTAGCTGTCAAGCACATGCCAGTGAAACTCAGTGACAACTCCATATCAGAGGCAGCCAAAAAGTTTACATCCAAGTAAAACGTTTTGTACAATCAGTAGTGGTAAATTTGAAGAGCATCTTTCCAAGAAGTTACTTGAAAAGGAGATTTTCTCCCCACCCCCAAAGTTTATGACAGCTTTAAACAATTCTTAAGTCCAACAGCTCCTTGAGAAATTTGAGAAAAAGAACTGGCAGCTTAGAAAAAAAAGACTTCCTGGAACAAATTCTGATCGCCTCATTAGACAAACAGCCACTTGTCACCCACACACCAGATGATGTGTAGTTCTCTGTTTACACTGTAATTGCAAGTGGCAAGATGAGTGTAAGTAATGCCACTGCAGGGTGTTGCTAAGTGTTGTGGAACACCAGTTGTCTCTCAATTGGTAGAAATAGGGATAGTGTACTAGGCACACTTGTCCTAACAATGCTTTAACTGAAACACATCAATTCACTGAGCGACCCTTACACAGTAACTTATTGTCTGTACAACTCAGGGCTAAATTTTAACTGCTATTTATGGGACAAGACATTCCTCCTGTTCCTCAAACCTTAGAACTCACCATCTTTCAGACTGCTTTCCCAGTATCGAAATAGAGCCATGTAAACACAGAAGTGAAATTTACAGTCATCCATGCTATAAAACAATTAAAATACTGCCAATAGAGTAAATTTAATTATTAAATGCATATAACAATCTCTCATAGATACAGAGAACTCAATATAATCATTTACTTATGTTTCTGGTACCCAGTGAAACTTAATTGGGTATAGCTGCCACTGAGATTTCAGCTAGATATCCAAACAATTAACACTGTGATGCAAAAATAGATAAATTACTGTTCATAAAAGAAATGTAATTACTAACGTACAAGAAGTAATGAACTGCAGAGTGCGTCCAGTTCAAATAGGATTCTGCACTGTGTATTTCCTGCAAATATGCCTGCAACTATTAAATATATATGATATTTAAAAACATTTTCAAATTACTAACTCCATATACAAGTTTATCTTCTTCCCCAAAGCACTATGTGTTTAATTGAGCCCTTGGGTTCATAATCATTTTTAATTTATTATTGATATGTAAAACCAACACACTTCACTAGTGGACAAATGCTTTAAAATGCAATCTACTGATGCACAAACCTGATTTAGTTTATTTACTGTGGAAATTAAAGTAAAATGGAAATGTGTATATTGCATCACTCGACATTTTAAATTAGCCCAAGCAAAGAAGCTATTTAGAATTATTAGAGGCAATGAATTTGCTTTGGCTAAAGAGCTGGACATGACAATCTATCAATCTTTCCCGACCATAATTTCCATTTACCCAACTTTATGGTCCTTATTGGGTCTAAGTTAATTTTAACTTTTCCTGGGGCAAATTCCCTTTAACTTCAATGAGCTTTTCATTTGAAGAGACAGTGAAATATTTAAAGACCTGGTCCTGCAAGTGTAGGAATAACATCTTTTTCATGTCTATTCTATTCATTCAGGAGCAGGTGAGATATTCAGGAATTCTCAGAGTGCACAAACTCTCCAAGTCTCTCTTGCTTTGTGCCAACAGAAGATAGAAATCAATAACAGTAAAATAATCATGAGGCAGTGTATTTACGTGAAACAAGCATGATGGTGAATAAGCCCACCTAATCCTTCAGTACTGTATTTGTTTTCCCCCCCACAGACTGTAGATATATGTGCCTTCAAGGCTACAGGTTAAACCCCACTATGGGAGTATAAACTCTTCCTCATGGATTTTGAGGAGTAACTGGTACCCATAAGCCTGATAAGAAGTGAGCTGACAGACATGTTTTGGACTGTGAAGGTTTTGGACTGTGAAGGCTTGACTGGCCTTCTCCCAAATATTGGAAGCAGTTTCTTTGAGCATCTATAATGGAATGCAAAGCAGTTGATGAGAGACTTGTTTGAGTGGGAATTAATCTAAGCCGAACTCTGCTGGCACGCCAAGCAGGGTGGTGAGTATGTGGGGGAGGACACTGTCCCCATGAAAGCACAGTCTCTAATATCTGGGTAGGCAAACCAATCCCATAGCAAAAAAATAGAATGAGCTCAAACTCCACCAACCCACACCATCATTTATTGCCCAAAAGAATATGTATTAATAATGGAAACTGAGGGGAGAAGGAAGGGGAACTGATCTACTGGAACTGTATGGTTTTGTTTTCAGTGACATCTTTCTCATCTTTGCACAGCTACTCCCAGAACTATTCATTTACCTTCTTTCATCCTACCTTCTTTTGAGACTTTTGCATCCAGTTATAGAGAAAGGACACTGGATGCCTTTCCAAGAAAATTCCCTTACCATCCACCCCTGGCCAGAAAAGGCCCTAGAAAACAAATCCTTCCCGAGGAATCAAACTTGGTGCAACTCAGCAATCAATTTATGCTTTAGAGTTGTATTCTTTTAGTTTCTGTACTGACAGCACTGGTGGGAGTGTCACAAATGCCTACTGAAACTCCAGCTGGCAGAGGAAAAAGTTGGTAAAGCATCAGATGAGGTCCAGCACTGTGGTATTGCTGGGTGCAGCTCTGAAAGCTGAGCTGTTACCCTTTGTCAGGAGGATCAGACAGCACATCTGAGTTGCCACTAGCTTTAGCCCCCTGCTTCCCACCCCTCCAGGAGAAGAATCCTTCAACCCTAAGCGAATGGAGACACCTTTGGTTTGCATTTTGACTGGTATGAGCACTAATGGTTTGTACCCCACATTTTCCTATACAGGAATTTCTTCTACAGCATTCTGGGCTTTAGAACTGGCAGGGGCTGCAGTTGTAAACAAGACAATGACACCATCACGAGCATAGAGTGATTTTGGTTGGAAGGGATCTTAAAGATCACCCAGTTCCAACTCTCCCTGCTGTGGGCAGGGACACCTTCCACTAGACCAGGTTACTCAAAGCCCCATCCAACCTAGCCTTGAACACTTGGAGAGATGAAGAAGTGTGAAAACAATCCTCTATCTCATCTCGAAATCTACACATACCCAAGCAGCTCCAACCTGTCAGGACCATTATCTTATCTAGGTGGACATGTCAGTATTACCATCATTGTGGAGTAGGTATAGGGGTAATGGTAGGCCAGGTAACAGACATCATCTTTATGCGGGAATTTGATGCTGAAGGTGAGTGTGTAATAGAACTTTCCTCTCATGCCTCCTCCTGCAGTTGCCCTGCAGTGGTAGTGGTTTCTGGAAGAAAAGAAAGAGGAGGAAAATAAGTATTTTTCACTTCTAGATGCACATTTGAAGAAGCCACAAGAGAACTAAGCATTCAGAGAAGCATCCACTCTGAATGAGCTTTCATCTCATGCTGTAGGAGGGGCTCCAAACTTAACCAGTCATTGTACAGAGGCTCCATATAAGTACAATAAATCCAATCCCAGTAATGAGCAGGTACAAAAATATAACACACTACCAAACAATACCCAGTGACCCAGCAATGCACCTGCAGCCTGTATGAAAGAAGGAAGGTTGGAGAAACCACAACTCCACTGGACAGAGATCCAAACAGGGTCACCATGGTGACTACCACAAATCAAGGTGGTACCCCAGGTTCAGGGTGTCCTGGGATTCACAACAGGACAGAAAGACCCACAGGGAGTGAAGAGGCAGAACTGCATGTGGCAGTACAGAGCACTGCCAGTCACATGCTGCTGATGGATGGGAGAACTCTCACAGGGAAATAACAGTTTGCTTCATTTTGGGAAAATGCAAATAAAGAAGCAGCCAGCTAATACTAGCTCATATAGCACAATCCAGACATATTTAAACTAATGCATTCAGCTAACACTGCCATATTTCTTCAGATATCCAAATTATCTTGCTTAGAGATGCAGGTTCCTATTCACAGCTCTGAACAATGCCATGTGAAAATATTCTGTGAAAAGCCTGGAGATTTAGAAAATATGAATATCCTACCAAACCAACTATTCAGTTCCACTACAGAAAGAAAAGCGATATTTCAGGCACAAAAATAAATAATAAATAGGACATACATAAAAAAATTCCAGATACCATCAAAGGCTCTTTGTTGAGAAGGAAGAGGAGGAGAGCAGGTTGGGGTAGAGACTGAGCATGAAGGAGAAATGACCTTATAAAGATTTTCAGGTTGTGAGCTACCCAAACAATCCTCTATTTCGGATCCCTCCTTTTTGAAGACTTCGGCCTCACCCTCTCAGGGAGCAGTGAGGACCAATTGCTCCCTGTGAGGAGCTGAGCTTGATGTAGAAGCCAGAAGAGCTCACCAGGCAGGGTCAGCTCCCACAGCACCTGAGCAGGGCATGCCTGGGGACAGCAGACGGGTTCAACTGCTGGTTCAACCACACATCCAGATCATCAGACAAGTTTGTGGTAGTGAGGCAGGTCTGAGTCAAGCCAGAAGGTTGGTCCAAGTGTCAGGGTCCGGGTCATCAGGACTGATAGCAGAGCAGGGATGCAGCAGTGACAGCTGGAGCCTCAATACAACAGAGCTCTGGGAGGGGCTGGTCAGCATCACCAAGGTCTAACAGGGTACACAGGTCCTTGACAGTGCCTTCAATAAAACTACAAAATCTTATAGTGTACTTCTCAGTCTACTTTCAGGACCAGATCTCTTGCAGGAAACTTACTCTGATGAAGAGATGACTTCAGGCTGAGGAGGAAAGTTTTCTTTCAGCAGAGATGAAGAGACAAATCATGTACTTTAGGGAGAAGCCTCACAGCAAATTGCATCCATAAGTACATTTCAAACAATATTTTTCCCACATTGCACCAATTATGCTGTTGCTGAACCTTCTGATTCCAAAGGACTGTGAGGTTTCTTTGACAAATGTTATCATCAATGTTGCATTAAAATGCAAAATAGAAGAGGCAACCAAAAGATGCAATTTCAGCTCCTGAATTTTACAATACTAGTTTATTTTGCTGCCCTTCATTTTTATTCAAAGGGGAGGAGTGAAAAGATAATTATTCTTGTCAAATTCTCCAAAATAATCAGCTCTTTTTCATAAGAGAGACACAATACAATGCTGCTGGGTTTTCACCTGAATTCAACAGTCAGGAACATGTGGGGTGAGTGATACAGACTGGATCAATAGATAGTGCAGAAACACTGAGTCACAGTGGCAAACTAAAAGGCCTATGATTTTATTCTCAGCTGAACTCTTAACCCCAACATTTCCTTTGCAAATAAACCACCTTAATATTGGACAGAGATTCAGAGGGGAAAAAAATGAACCCACAAATATAGAAACATCTACTTAGGTATTATATGTGTATTTTGGTGGATCAAGGGTTAGAGTCTAGTCTTTCTTTAAAGTCAGAACAATGACATTTAATATAGTTCCTGTTAATTTTGACAATGAAGGATAATTGAGAACTGTTTCTTGTATAGTGCAGAAGGAAAGTGCTCATCTCCATAGCTTCTATTATACTCAGTGCCACTTGGAAGATTAGATGACCTTATTCATAAAGAACTGTGACAAAGTGCTGAGTTCTTCCAAGTCCTCACGTCCAAATTCACACTGGGAGGAAGCAGGTCTTTGCAGGCAGTTACTGCCTAAATGTCTTACATATACATTATTCCCACATGTGATGCTCCAGTAAAGGCTTCTCCCTCTATATTCTGTAATTCTGAAGCCAAAAGTATCTCTCCTGCCTAAAATGGCCACTTAACCCTGAGGTTTTGCAGCACCAGACACCCCTGATCTTGATGCTACACTGATAGTCAATGGTCCTTACTCCTGACCACTCAGATCACACAATCACCTGGGTACTGATGCACAGAATTCTCACAGCACTGCTCAGCAGTACATTTCATTCTTGTTCTGAGTGTCTCTGCTGTTCCACCTTAATACCCACCCAGAAACGACATCTCCAGGCTTTTGAATCAGTTTTGACACCTGCTTCAGTCTGTAGCAAACTATCTGGCAGCAACAGGAAGTTTATTGGTGGCTTTGGGAGGCTTCAACATTCTTCACTCATGCATTAAGAAGAAAAAACTCCCTGTGTAAGCAGTGTAAATGATCATGGTACGTTTACTGCATATAATCTGGTCTCCTCACAATCCATTATACAAAGCAGTAGCTCTGAATATTTTTAAAAGAAACACCAAAAAAATAGCATTTTTCCTCTTTGCCTCCCTCTCCTCCTACTGCTATCAAGCCAAAATGGTTCTATTGCTTCCTTTTTCCTCCACTGGATTTATGGGTTTTTTTGGCTCCTCACCACTTTTTCATCACAACACCCTATAATATCAGCATGGAGCCTAAAGCAAAAAGCAAGGAAAAGGGAAGGAAAAAAGACCTTGGCAACATCTGCTTCCCACTACCTTATTTGTCTTCTCTTACAAAAAAAACGTTGGAAGTCTCTCATGCTCTCTAGAAGCTAAACACACTGATTATTGGAAACAAAAAATAAGACCAAAGTGTGGTTTTCTCAATGGGCATGCAAGCTGTATCTACTGTGCCTTTCAGTCACTTTGTAATAATGAAATCACTTTGCTTGCTGTTCTTCTTCAGAAAAAATGTACAGGTAGTATGTTTCCAGCATAGCTGTGATGAAAAGTTAATTAATAATAATTATAATGCTACTTATCACTTACTCTGCACAATCATTTTTTTGTGCTTAAAAGATCTTTGCAAACATTATCTCATTAAAATGTGCTTCCCATTTATCTATTTCCATTCTTTGGGTGGCAGATAAGTGACTCTAATTTTCCACCCTTTACAGATGGGAAAACAGAGACAGACAAGTGAAGCAACTTGGACAAAGATGCAGGCAGAAAAGAAGCTGAATTGTAACTGAGGAATTCAAAAGCACCAAACTATTCAGGAACAGTATCTCTTGGCCATCTCTTCTTTAGACTTCCAATCTGCAGCATGGTAAAAAGCACTGTTAGGTGATGAAATACGGCATTTATTGGCCTAGACTAAAATGGCCAAAGAAAGTATCAATATTCTATCTTTCTGGGCCATTTCAAAACAAACTGCTTTGAAAATGTTTATCACTTCTAACCTGCTGATGCATTCCCTTGGTACAAAATACTTCCCACCTGGAGTTTGGTGTCCCCATTTTACATCTCCTGACCTCCTTACATCTCTAAGTGTGGCTATTAAGTGCAATAGGCCTTAGTAATACCCTCGTTCATACAATAAAAAGCAGTATTTTACAATTCACTGGGTACAGCTGTTATTTTGGGATCTGCCACACTGGAAACTGGAAAATGCACAGCACAAGTTCCTTTTCAGGGGCCAAATCCATGTTGAGGCATTTTTGTTGTCAAGAGTTCAGGCAGAATCCCAGTGGAATTATAATATTCCCACAGCCATCTTGCTGTAAGGTGTTCAATCATATTGCAAAGGCCAGGTGCTCTCAAAATGAGACTGGTGTCTCAGCCATCTCACAGATCTCATTAGAGCTGAGAGGTGACCTGCTAATGTTACGATGATTATTTCATCTAATGTGATTATAAAGATGCTGAAAAGAGAAGACCTAGTTCTGACACCATTATGATCACTAAACAGCCAAGTTTTTAGTGGTGAAGTGAGAACAAAACACTCCATGTACCTCATTACCATCCATGAACTGACTATTGTCTGAAAAAGCTGGAAGTTAGATAATATGCTTAGAATGAGCCATGAAACCAAAGGCACAAGCACGTTGTCACCAATTCAGCATTCAGCTGCCATTGTTCCTTAAATACTTTGCCAGAAAGGAATATTATTCAGTGCATAAAAGCTGCCAAGACAGCAAGAGAATTAGATGATCTTATAATAACTGCAACTGTTTACCATGGGTGTATCCTGTCACTTCACAGAGAGGCAATAAAATAGAGCAGAAGTGTCACTCAGCTTCTTTTTGACAACAGCTCTGCTAATATTCTCCATAACATAAAAACTCTTGTGAGACATATGAGAAAGGTACACGATGACACAGCTGTGCCACAACATTCATTTTTGTGAGTGAACTATCCCATCTTCAGGGAAGATGAATGCCAAAGAGAAGCCAACCTGCTTCACCCAAACATCTCACCAATGAGCCTTTCCTCCCATTGTCCTTCAACTCAGAGGTGTCTCTCAATAAACGCCCTGCTGCAAAAGCAATTAAGGGCATCTTTGAGTTCCTCTGTATTTTTGTAAGTATATCACTCTTTTCCCATATTTATGAATAACTCCTGGTTTATGAATAACTCCTGGTAAAAGTAATTAGATGAGGTTCCCGCCAAAATGTGCACTCTGACCTCAGGATATCTGTGAACAGGGAGAATGGAAATGAAGTGAGCTTGTTCCCCAAAACACTGTCAGCATGATATCTCTATAGCAATCCCATTTCTTCTTCATCTGAGAAACCCCAAACACACTATCTTCACATTCCCTCCCCCATACAACTTCTCATGACAAAGAATCTCGTTTTATAATCACTGGAAAAAAGTTTCAATAGGGGTGAAAGTGCATATATATGTGTATATGCACATTCTTGTATATACAAAAATATGTGAAAACTTGGACAAACAATTATGAGAGACAACAGAAGTATAGTTATCCTAGATGATTATGTTGACATATAATTTAATGCACAGCTAGAAAACACAGAATATTCCAAATCAATAAAATTATTCTCTCATATATTCAGAACAAGAATCTAATTACAGGCTTAATTGTACAATCATGGTTTAATCTTGGAAGTCAGCTGCTGTTTAATCACTGCACAATAGCTGCCTTGTTCATGACATGGGAAGGCACTGCTTGGGTATTCAGTGTGTAAAGTCTGCACAACCAGAAGCTCGTACTCAGAGAAGCCAGAGATTACAGGCATGTAAAGGGAAGCCACTGCACCACACTACATTAGTTCTTGAGGTAGAAAAGTTTAAGATTAGCTGAAGGAAAGTTAGTGAAGAATACCTGAAACAAAATAAAACAGTTACTCAAATTGCTATAGACAGATCCCAGGCTGAGAGAGGATAGCCTGAACCTTCAGCTCACCACCCCCCCCAAAAAAAAAAAAAAAAAGAAAAAAGAAAGAAAAAGATTATCACAGAAATTGGGACAACTTGGAATTTTTTGGTGTCAACACAAGTTTGAGGCTCTGCTAGTTCTGGAAGGCAGCCCACTGTCTTTGTTTGGGTTTATTGTCTCATCAAACCCACTTGTGAACACAGTCACCTCTGAACGTAACACAAATACCATTTCTAACAAAGAGAAATCCCATTGTTTCACAACAGTTTCCAAAATCAGCCTCACCACAAGAATTAATGAAGAAAGGAGTACCATTTAGAACATCAGAAAAGTTCAGCTTTTTCCTGAGCCCCATTTACCATGCCAGACATTTATGATCATTAATTCTGTTAACACCTTTCTGTTTTCTTGTATTTCCCTGTCTGCAGTCACCAGGTAGCCCAAACTCTGAGCTTCAACTGCAAGGTATTAGTGGCAAGAATCAGACTTTTGGCTTGTTTATATAGTGCCTAATGCAGCACTTACAGCATCCTGAGAGACTGAGAAACTAGTGATGCAAACTGGTGAATAGGAATCATGGTAGAAAAAAAATAATTAGAAGAACAAAAGAAAGAAAGGGAAAACGTGTCACTCAGGCATTCTCAGACCCAGCTTTCAGGTCATGACAGGTATGGCAAGGATAAAATAATTAATTAACATCAAAAGTTGCAGTGTTTGATTACACAGTATGTGAACTTCACCCATAATGCCCTAACTGTTCATCCTCAACATACAACCTCTTTTTTCCATTGCAGGTCTTCCCGCTTACACCGCCCCAGGCTACATCATTCCCAGACATCCCACTCACAGGCATTCAACCAAATACATTTACTCATACCTGTAATTTTCCTACTTGTTCTATTCTTTCCCCCAGCCTTCAACTCTGCACATATATTCTAATCCAAAACATACCAATTAAGCTAGTCCTGAAAACCCTTTTAATCGTCATTTTTAAAATAAATAGCATAGTGGATAACGTTTTGGAAGCCTTGAGAAAATAAAACGGAGTGCATTCAACCTACTGAAACACTAAGCTCTACGCTTGTCTCCTTTGACTGTAATAAGCAGGATGAATCAGGGATCAGTTTTCTGCATGAAAATGAGAAACCTGAGTGAGAATGTCTCACATGAGTCAAGCTCCAGCTCAGATACAAGTTAAAGATGAGACTGCTCGAGTATTTTTCTTCTAAGGCTCTGGCACACTGCAAAAACAGCCTGAAACAGGGAACTTGCATAAATATCAGCACTGAGCTTGTGAGGCCTCCTTTACACCACTGTTGCCTCACCCCAATAGAAAGACAAAACTTCCCATAGGATAGTAAGACTAATCCCTACTGTTTCTGCTGTCAGGACAGGCTCTATATGGTGCCAATCAGAATGGTCCACAAATCAATTTGCCTTCTAGGATGCTTGGAGCAGAAGGGAACGTCATGAAGATACTAAGGTATAAATTCACAGACAAACATGAATTTGTATATGGCTATTTCTTCATATATAATTATATAGGTGTATATAGTGCATGTACATATACACCCCTTCCCACACAACCCTGTGTATATCTAACCCCTTCTTTACCTCCTCAGCTCCTACATCTCTTACAAAAGTCAGTGTGTGCAACAGAAAAACAATGATCCCATACAGCTCATTCTTCCATGGACAGGGGGAAAAGCCAACTTCACTACTTTAGTGGGTTAAGCTTCCTTCTATTCCTGGCTGCACCAGCAAGGTTTGAGCACTTCCCATTCCCTTTCCACCTCCTTCCTCCTAGGGAAGTGAATTCTGCACATGCCCTGTTTCTCCCCTGGCATCTAATATTGAGATCTCACTGGGAGCTGTTTTCTGAAGGTGGTCCCAGCACCAATTTAGAGACATTTGGAAGAAGGAATACTGGTGGTGAGAGATTCGTGAGATCAATACAGTTAACAGAAGGGAAACAGTGGAGGGAGGAAGGAAGGCACAGATTATTCACCAAATTCACACTTACTTGTAGTAGCAGATATCATGGCCTGCCCGAATCCAGCGAGGCCTGCCCTGGACAGCTTCTTTCACTGAGTACATGACCGGCTGCATACCTATATAAAACAAGATATTTTCAATTGGTGTGACTTCCCTGGCTGGAAAAGACAGAAGTGGGAAGGGAAAGGCTAAACAAGAAGCAACAATATTTTGCCAGTGCTTTCTCTGCAGATAGTTTATGCAAAGTAAATACATTCCCAAAGCCCTGTGCTTTGTTCTGATATAGCTATGTCTGTACAAAAAAGCACCTCCAGAAGAAATGAGCTCGATGGAGTTTATTAAAAAATAAATTATCCTACTGTCCACAAAGGAGGACTTCATTCTGTTTAAAAACAGAGGAAAGGAAAGGAAAGGAAAGAATAGGAATCAAGGCATCAACAAGATCCTTAATTTGGTTAGTGCAATATTTTGTGCTTGGCTGCACTAGTATTGAACTCTTAATCCTACCACAGCATTAGAGATCAGTGGTGCATCCAATACCCTACCTTCAGAAAACAGCAAGCAAAACTAGAAGGGTTTAAATTTACTATTAGACCTCAATAACCTCTATGTGTCATAAATGCTGATAACAATAGCATCCATCTTTGTACCATATTATCCCAGAGGATGACTCCTTCCTGACCTCCAAAATTTTGTGCCCCAAGGTACCAGGCTGTCTCTGATCTGAGCTGTGTACACATTACTCACAGCTCCATGAAGCCAGCCCATCTGCAGGGAGTTTTTTGAATCAAATTCCTTTGCTGTACACACCTGCCTGCTCTTTCACAGGCACGGTGAGGATGCTGCCCTCACAGCAAAGCTCTCTGCACGGCGTGTCCCTGGTGAGGGGCTGGGGGCTGCAGGGATGGCTGCTGCCAGCCAGCTCCAGTGGACCCAGCACAGCCACAGCTGAGCCCAGCAATGGTTGCTGGCAGCACTTCTGTGAAAGAGTATTTAAGAAAGAGAAAAATGCTCTTTCAAGTATTTTTGCATGTTGATAAGTTGCCTCCTGAGCCTTCTCTTGGCTGTTCTTGTGCTGGGAGGAGGTGATGCTTGAAAATCATTAATACTGATGACATATTTCCATAAGCAGCTATTCAGTTCTCTTCTTCCTTTGGGTTTCTGTGTTAAATCTCCAACACTTTCAGAGCCAGGAAGTGTATCAGCAGCAATGCCTTTCCAGATCTTATTTGGCTGTGCTGTGGGGTGGCACTAACTCACCTACACCCAGGAGTAACCTCTATATTGCCATTTCCTGAATCAGTGCCCTAAGTCACATACAAGAAACAATTGTGTTTGGTTCCAGGACATGGGCCACAGCAAGTTTTGGGAGTCACAGATCTGTCCAGATGCCCAGTTTATCAGACAAGAGATGTGGGGCTCAGGGTATTCAGGGCTCTCAACATCCCAAATGCCATCTCCTGCCCTTCTCTCTGTGTCCAAAGGAGACAAACTGGAAACTACCTCAGAGCAGTGGCTGATACTAGTCTACCATCTCATTTTAATTAAAAAAAGTAAAATAAATCAGTTTTTCCTTCCCAATTTCCCTATGGAAATGTTCAATTTTAGAAAACAAACTGAAATCAGGCTTCAGATGAAATCCCATTATTCCATTATTTCCCATGGTAAAGTAAGTCAGTGAAAAAGAGGGGAGGAGAGAGGTGGAGGCTGCACTTCCTGACTTGCTCTGCTCCTGGCCACAACTATTTCACTAAGTATTCTTTTTGCTGGTTTGAAAGTCACACAGTGCCATCTAACCAAGAGAAAAAGGGAAAAATCAAGCCAGACAAGTAACCAGGAGTTGCCACCCAGGGCACTTTGCCACTACATCGCACTGGAGGCTTTTAGTAATATAGTGTGGGCATAAGCCCAGGAAAAGTGCAGAGGGAATGTGGCAAATAAACAGCAATGGTCTGTGTAAATGTTATGCATGTGCTGGAAGGGGTAGTGAGTCTCACTCAGCCAAGCCAGAAAAGCTGGAGCTTCACTGCCCGCTCAGAGCAGCAGAAGTAACCCACAGAAGATTTGTTTGATAGCCAATCCCATGTACAAGCCATCCAAAAGTGAGACAGGGCTTAGCCTCCCTCCTTACTCCAGATGGTATTTTCACATTTCTCTTCCAAATATATTTTTCATTGCATGCTTGAACATGTGAGTCATGTACAATTTCAGGTACACAAAATGAGACTATAAATGTTGACAACAGCCAAACTAGCAGATAATAAACAACCTTCCATCAATAATAGCCTGAATCTCTGGCTGTGAAGGCACCGGTGGCTGCATCAGGGGTGGTACTGAGGTCTACAGTAGGACATCAACATACTTCATTTTTAGGCTCCTACCAGACACACCACTCTGAATCGTTTGGTAATTCAGGGAAGTAGTATAAGATGACAAAAATAAATATTTTTCAGTTGGGATTTATATGAATATTTGAACCTCAGCCCTTAGGGTTAAAGAGCAAATGCCTTATAAATCGTCATGCCACTCATTCAGCCAGTTTCACACATAAAAGTGACAAGTGACTCCAGCTCCTAATGCTATTTGTTTTAGGTACATTGATCTTGAGAGAGTTGTCCTGGTGATGCTAAAGGCTGTAGCCACAGGGCTTCAGAGGAATGCAAAGTCTGATATTATGGACTTATTAAACATACTGAGTCAGGTCTTGAGCTGGTGAAAATTAACAGAGTTCCATGGAAACAAATAAAAAAAAAACCAACCCATGCCAGCTAACAATTCAATCCAGTCTCCATGCAGAAGAAATAACTTCTCTTCTAAAATCAGTATTGAAAGCTGGGATTTGCCCTGCCTATTTCTGAGTAATGCTGCCTTCCTCCTGAACCACGGACTGTGACAGGACATCAAAGACAGCAAGGAACAGAATTTTTTATCATCATTAATATCAACACAAGTTTTAGTAGGTCTGAAGTCATAGATGTCTTGCTGGATAAATCCAAAGAAACATGAATATTTGTTTGAGGATTATCACATTTACTTAAATCTTAGAAGTACTTTCCAGTCCTATGCTGTTCATTCAGTTCCAACAGATTGTCTTTTTTCCCCACACCTCTCTCAACTCTAGTGCCATTCTTCCTCAGTTCTGATCTATAAACACAACAGTGACAATTTTTTTCCCCCACAGATCCTCTCCCAGGTCTCAATATTCAGTTTATTCCCCAGTCCTCCTGAGGATAGACAAAGGTACTTTGACAAATCTGAAGTGACTCTTTCAATGTATTTCAGGGCAGATAAGATTAAATTTACAGTCTCTCTATACTTATAGGCATGGAAAGTTTTAAACCTTTCTGGCATTAGAAAGATATTCTTGTGAACAGAAGGACACCCCAATTCCCCAGGGACTCATACCATAATTAAACTGGCTATTGAACTTCTCACAGTTGATAATGTTGAAGCGATAGGGAACTGCTAACTTCATGTCACGGACTTCGAAGTAGAACCACTGGTGATGCTGGTTGCTGTTGACATCTGCATTCATAATTAAGTCATACTCAAACCTGTTAAAAAACATAGAAAAAACTGTGGTCATAAACACCCCATGTCTGCCAGTGAACGTGCTGACAACAGGCTATGCAATCTAATTCATTAATATTTTCTGAGCATCAGAGAACAGCATTAAACTCACAAAGTCCAAACACCTTTAAATACTCATACTGCATTGGTCTTGTCAAAACATTTTGAGCTCTGTTTTCTTACTCCTGTTGCTTTCCTGACATTTAGGTGTTGGAAGGCATGATTAGCTCTGTGCCACGTCACCTGTTTCCCTGGCTGGCCCTTTCCAAACCCAGGAGAACACCACCATTCCACGCTGTGGTTGCAGCAGAAGGCAGGCTGGGACACATCTGCTCCAGCTGTACTTACTCACGCACTTGGATGGCTTTGCGAAGGTTTCCCGATTCAAACTTGGAGAAGAATGTCAGGCAACCTGGAGCACCTGGGCTTGAGCAACTGCTGTAAAGCAAAGCAAAGCAAGGACACTTATAGCAGGCTGCTTCAAAGACAAGCTTTCCCCAGCGCCTTTTGAATGCTATAATAGGCTTTAATAATTTCTTTAATAGGCAGGACCCTGGGTAGGAGCAAGAGGTGAGCAAATCCATAATCCTCCTATCTGATGCACCTTTCCTCTCTACTCTTGCTTGGTAATTCTAAATCACATCTTTCCTTTTCCCAATACTCCTTTTTGTCACAGTTCGTGTTTGCTTTCTTTATTCCAACTACTTTCCCACTGGGTTATTCCTATTAATTCATTAATTGCAGAAGGCAGCTTTATACAATTACTACACATTTACTCTTCCCTCATCTATATAGTTTCCTTCTCCTATAGCTTAGAAATCTGTAAATTAATCTTAAACAACTTCACAACTTTCTCTTACCTCAAACTGTCCTTTACCTTTTTTTCATCTAAAGAGTGTTCTCCAGTTCATTCATCCTTCCTCTGAATGCAACTTCTTCATATTTGGGACCCTCTCAACTGCCCTGCGCTATGTCTCAAAGACCATTATTGCTGACCATAGCTGAGCACTTAAAGTAGTTCCCAAGGCCAGATGTGTGGTTTTCAGAAGACTTTTGTGAGTGTCACACTTATAAAATAGAGTACATCTACCGCCCGTGACACTGGCTGTGCAGAAACTCAGTGGGAAATGCTGCTTCAGACTGCAGAGAAACTGGAATAATCCCCAGCACCAGTCTGCCCATCTCTGTTCCAAATCATTACATGCAATGCAGACATATCCAGGGACACCATACAGTCTCACTGATGTATGGATTCTCTTGCTCTGTCTAAAAGTTTTGAGGTTTTTCTGCTCCAGTGACTTCCACAACAAATCCTTTCTGTGGAGTCACGTACAAGGAACCTACTCCTCCTAGATATTTTCTCCACTGGGGCTTTAGCTCCTGTATTATTTTTTCTTTACCTTCCTCAGAGCTGTACAAGTGAACTGAGCTCACCACCCCACCCAGCACTGACAGTACCCCTGGTTACAGTGCTCAGTTGTAGTTACCCACCTGGGCTCATCCAAATCAAACACAGTTCTGCCGATCACATCACCCGGCTGGATTAGGCGGCGAACATCATCTAGGACTTTGTCCCTAGGAGAAAGAAAGCAGTAAATTGTAATGACACTCTGATAAATCTCAATATAGTAGATTCTTCTAGAAGTCATATGAAGAGTCTTTGGAAATTCTTTTCAAGGACTGATAAGGAAGGACTTCTTCCATATGCTAATTCCAGGTGAACTTTATCTTTTCCCACCACGAGAATGCATCTGCTCTATTCCCATTATGAGTTGCCTTTTGGGTTAAATGACTGATTCTGAAAAATTTCTATTCTCTGTAGTATTCTGTCAATTTTGATTTATTCCCAGTTCTTCCTATTCAAGGCCAACCTCTCAAGTGGCCAGTCTTGCCCTGTGAGGAAATATCTGCCATAACTTATAAACCTACTAGTCTGGCTCAAAGGGAATCTTGACTTTAAGTCAAGCTGATTTCTACTATTTAAATGGAGTTTCTCTAATCCCTAAAGATGATCAAATGTGGAATACCAGATTTTTCTTCCTGACCTTTGAAGCAACCATGTTATACCCTGAAGTATGTCATGATTAGTCCCATTTCAGCTGTGCAGTTACACATGTTGTTGTCGCCATAAAAGCAAAGCTTTTAGAGCAACAGTGCAAGAAGATGGTAGAGTGATTTTGCCTCTAAATAAGATCTCTAGCTTTTGTATTTGCTGCAGAAAGAATCATTCTCTCTAGAGATCAGAAATCAGTGTTCTTCACAAAAGCCATTTGATTAGTGTTGATCAACTCTAAAGTTTAGCATAGAATCCAGCCTCTTTGCTATCTGATAATAATTCCCTATACCACTAAAAAGAAATGTAAAGTCATTGCACACAGCCACACATGGAACAAACGAAACTGTGGTTATAAGAGCTTCCTCTCCCAGCACAGTTTCAAAACACAGCTTCCCACTCATCTGAGCACCTAAATAAAATGAGAGGTCCTTTCTGAGAGGACAGAAAGGATTTTCCCTCAAAGAGCCAGATGGGACCCAATGTTGCAAGCACTAAAGGTGGCTGGGTAAAGAGCAAGATTGAGAGTAAAAATGTATCCTGAAAGGACACAGAGTCTTCTTTGTCTCTAAAATGGGCTTGTTCTCATTTGTGTTCTAGCAAGGACACAGATTCACAGCATACTCTGGGTCTTGGTCTGGTTACTTTAATGAAAAGCCACCAGTAAATGTATATCAGAACTTTGAGCAGCTGAGTCCTGTCACAAACATCACTATATCAATGCATTTATCAATAACTGGTTTAATCAATAACAATTTGAAATACTAGGTAGGTGAGTATGGATTCACAGAAACCATAAATGTCTCTCCCCAGAGTTGCCACTTTCACCTTGATCTGTGAGACAAAGAAAGCAACACAGTGCACAGCTCACCCACTGACACAGAGGAAGTCCATGTCAGAGGTAGGGAATAGGCTTGCTGATTCCTAATCCTGTTCCTAATCCAGGGAGATGCTAATTCCCTTTCCTCAGGAGGAAGACCTAGATAAGGTCACCCTGCTGTTTGGCCTTGAGGCAAATCATTGGGTAGCCAAAAATTTGTTCTATAACTTCCTAAGACATTCAGAAATGTTAGAGTCAGATTCTACATAAGCCAGCTTTGAGCTGGAGAACTCTCAGTGTGGTAATTTTATGAAAGCACAATCACCTTTGAACTCCCTGCTTGCGCTCCAACATGGGCTTGCTGTGAGGAGGTGGCTGGTGACCCCAGAAATCGGGAAATGCCAAGTCTCTGTAGCCTGGTATGGACTTAACACATTTGGCCCTGGCTGTGTAGAAGCGAGGGCTGTGGAACAGGACATCCCCTTGGTGTTTCTCCAGAAGATTTCTCACTACGACTGAGCTCTCCAGCCTCCCTCCAGGACTAGGATTGATTGAGGCCTCACAGTGAGGGTAAAACAGTTTTTTGTACCAAGCAGCATCTTTTGGGAGAGGGCGCAAAGCAAGCACACGACTTCTGGCTGCATCTTCCTCTTCACAGGAGTCTGTATCCTGGGCTGCTTCTGCAATGACTCTCTTTTCATCATTCTGATCCCATCTGCATTCCTCCTTCTTTCTCCAGCTCTTCAGTGGAACTTTGAAATCTTGTTCATCTGGATCTGGTCCCATCTCTGTGACACTTTGGTTTCTCCATCTGCAGTTTGGATGTTTCGCAGAAGTAGCACTTGGAATGAAATGAGAAGGAGCAGAGAGAAGACTCTCAGTCCTGTCCTTCAAGCTCTTCTCTTCCTCAGACTCCAATTCAAGCTCCTTTAGGTTTAAAAAGCAAAAGGAATTAAAAGAAACTAAAGACAGATTGTGCCTCCTTCCAGAGGAAACCTTTCAAGGAAGAAAAGAGGAAATATTTACACATCCCCCAAAACAGTACTCAACCAATAAAACAACCAGAACAAAATCAGTGCATGGACCACCTGCCAGCATTTCTCTATCCACAAAGCTGTTTCAACAGAAGTCCTGAAAACCAAAAGGATCCAACTAGAGATGACTCACGGAGATGACTCAACTGAAACCGATTGTTCTAACAAAGAAGGGAAGATATTTTGCAAGGCATTTTTTTTAAATATAAATGTTACAGCGGGGTAAAGGCAGCCAATCTGTCATGCAAAACTCCACCCCACCTTCATACAAGAGTATAATTTAATCCCATTTGGCTACTTATGGTGACAATCACTGTAACAATATTGTGTATACAGGAGATACATTAAACCACTGGTCTTTTCCAGACTCATATTTGAATCAGGGTTTTCAGCTCTCCTAAATTCCAAGACTTATAATGAGTGCAGTAGTCCATTTTTTGTCCCAGACTGAACTAGGAAAAAATATTTGAACTGTTCATTTCACTCAGTGGCAGTGCAATCTTCCCCTCTTCCTTCAAACCACTAGTTGACAGTATTTATTTTCCACATCTCATTCTGATCTTGATATTGCTGTTGAAATTGCCAGCAAGGATACAAATTATCTGACAGATTTCTCATGTGGCAATTGATTCAACAGTGCTTACTTAATCTATACCCAGACAAATGTGCATCAAACATCATTCCCTTTATCACTCACGATTCACACCAATAAACTATGGTAAAAAGTCATAATCTTTGGTTTTCCAGTCCTATAAGACTTACAGGTTTCCTTTTGCAATAGCCTTGCCTAGTCATCACTTGTCAATATTCCCTTTCAAGTATTTCTAAAATTCTGGAATATTCATAAATAGAGGAAACCTCACTATGATAGTACCTGAAAATTATGGGAAAGTTCTGGACACATTGCTTCATATTGTCCAAGATCTTCCTCTGGCCGGTCAAGCACTGGCTTTGTCCTCAATTTATTCACATCTGTCTCCAAATCATAATCCTACAAAAGCAGAATTAGAAAAGCACATAAATTACAAATGCCCCACAAGATGATCTCAACTATCAGTGAACTGGGGATAAGAACAGGATCTGAAACTTTCACAGTTGAAAGTTCCTATGCATTGATTTGCACCCTCACCCATATCAGATATGAGAACCAAGGCCCATCTGTGTCAAACATTCAGTCATTGCATTAAAAAAACCCAAAACCAAACAAATAAAAAAAGAAACAAAGACCAAACAAAAAAAAAACCAAACCAAAACAAACAAAAAACCAAAAACCAGGAAAAGATGGGGCAGGAGGGAAGGATGGAGACATGGCATTGATGAAGGGGCATTACACTACATCATTATTCAAATAATTCCACGTGTCTTTAAGTATGTCCCACCAAATATCATCAAAGAAGTGATTTGCTCCTGACAATCAGACTAATTTCTGAAGCTGTTATGGAAAGAAAAATGTAAAATTGCCTGAATGCACAAGTGTCCATGGCATTTCAAACCCAAAGCCACACTTGTGTCATTAAGCAGAGTCTGAACTGCTGTTTGGGCCTAGGTCAAAAGGCAGTGAAGGGCTGCAAGGAGCGTGAGGTCAGGTTAAAACGATTTGCCACTAACAGCATACTGATGCATAAATAGCTTCAAACTTGCTGAAGATTTGGACTGAAAAGAATAGAGGGTTGATGTGGTGATTTTGATTTTCGTAGAACTGTCTGAACAGCTCCTGACAGAAGCTCCTGACTGAAACCGAGTTTCAGTTCGGTTGCTATTGCTTGTATGCATGGATATGTGTTATGTAGCTGTGAAAATGTTTGTAAACCACATCAATACCAGGAAACATTGTGCAAAAGATCTTACACAAAGAAAGGTAAGCTGAAAGTTCATTATCCATTCCATGCTTGCTTTCCCTCTAGCAAGATTTTTCAAGGAAGATATATGACCAGCACACCAGACAAACAGTATTTAAAACTCCTATTCAGAACAAGCTCTCAGGCAAAAAAAAACCCAAAACTGCTTACATCTACTTGGTAAATCCTTATGAATAATGAAATAGTTCAGAAGCATAGGAGCTGTTTCTGAATGAATAACTAATTAAAGAAGGAGATAAATTCACTATGAACCTTATTCCTAATGAACATCTTGACGAGCTCTAATATTCAGATAAAAACAGCCAGACAAGGGCAAGTTAGGACACTGAGATAATGTGTGGGGGTTTTTTTTAACTTCCTTTTTTCATTGGGTGACATCAGTTTAATACTTGAGGAGAAAAAGACAGGGCAGTAATGAGAACACCCTTTCACAGAAGTCTCAATCATATCTAATTAGATTGTATACGCAACTTCATTTCTTTAATTTGCCTTCCCAAGCCACTTTAGGTGGATAAGACTTATTAGCAGCATTCAGTACTTCACATTTGCATATGAGCTTGTTTGTATTTTCACAAGAAAAAGGTTTACACTCTCATCCTCAGCTGGTAGGAGTTTTTTGTGCCAGTGAGGTCACTGCAGGGAGAATGCTAAGGAAGAATTCAGGGAAGTATGGAATAATTAATTGTATTATTTATCTGTGTAGAGCATCAAATAAAGAAGGAATATAGGTTCAAATGCCCCAGCTGTGGCTTAAAATAACTAACCTTTTCCTTAGTGCGGGTGCACAGCCCAAATATGATCTGATATGGGAAGAAAGAGAGGGTTAGTCTTTCCTAGGTGATAAATCGATTTTTCCTGAGTAAGTTTCATTTTTCTGGCATACACTCAGAGGAATCAAAGATCCACCATTTATCCCTGACTGTGTATGTGATTCTAATAGTTGCTGGTCAGTCTCTCTGCAGGAACAGAGAGTCACCAAATCCACACCATCCTGGGTAACAAGATGGCAATGAATAAAATAGAGGGGAATTCTAATGAAAATCAATGCTTTGTCCTTGTCTTCTTTCAAATATCTTTCTATTATTCATTTAGTGTGTTCATGTAGGACTACATGCACATCTACATTCTCTGCTTAGATAATCTTTCAGAGTGTCAAAATGGACAATGAAAAGTTTTACTTTCCAGTATGTAGATAATTATGGAAACTATGGCTCATATACCTACTTCCTCCTTACTCTCCCCATCCTCGTTATCCAGGTCTTTTTCAGCCTCTTCTTCTCCATCACTTTCATAGTCACCTGCAGGAGTAGGAAAGAGGTAGAGTCAAAGGTGTTCAACCTAATCTCCCTCTCATATCCTGCAGAGAAATACATGTAAACTCTTCTGTGTGTGCCACACATTCTATAACCCACCACAACCCTGATTAAAACAGATCTCATTTGTTAATCTCTGAATTTGGCACTAAATCATCCAGTTTTTAAAGCTCTGTTCCCTTGGACTCAAACACTCCCTTTCAAAACCATGACAAATGTCCCCATGGTATGGGTCCAACTCATTTTACAAAGCAATACAGAGATTTTCTGCTTGGCTGCAATGATATTACAGGATGTTCTTAATCTATATTATCTAGATTAGAGTGTTTTACTGCTATGATTGTTATAGTATTTGAGCATCTTCCACATGAAACTGAATGCAACAGAAATTGCTTGTGTGTGTCATGGAGCCTGCTATTTCTCCTTTTCTGGGGAGTAGCTATCCTGCCTGTACTTGAGTTCTGCTTTTCAGCAAGAGCTCACATCTTCTACTCATGGAGCATGACTGCTACCTGCTTTTATTTTAGAAAGTGAAAAGGATAATAATTCCCACAGATCTTTAAGGAAAAAGCTGCAGGGTAGTTCCCCTTCTCCCAAACAGCCATGCACAGGCACAGTTATGCCTCACTCTGTTGCTGTGGATCAATGGCATTTCCAGCCTTTGCTATGCCCACTCTGCTCCATTATTTTTTTGGATAATAGAAGAATTTCTTTTTATTTTTCCTTGCTCCTTTTATTCTTCTTTAATTTATTGTCCAAACAGGCTCTCCCAGGTTCAAGAAGACCTGGGAGTAATTTATTCTCTACTGAATGACACTGTAGGCCATCAGATTAATTTTAACTGTAAACCCTAGGACTGTTATACCAAGTCTCCCTTCCCCAGACCCCACACTTAAATCTCATGTCATACTCTTTTTCTTCCTATTGAATTCAACCTTCAGCCATTTACCTTCAGACTCTTCACATGGAGGTTCAGCCTTAGCATTCCCAGGAAGAGGGAAGGAATAGGAACTGTTTACTGTCGCCACAGGCAGATGCTCCTTGGGGTAGCACTTTCTCAGAATCTGAGTTGCAGTGGTTATAATAGGATCCAGATTTTTATGAGATAAACAGTCCTAGGAACAAAAGGAGAACAACACTAAGAATGGTCTCTTACAACTGTCCTACCTGTTACACACGGTCCCCCCCTGAGCAGTGCTGGGTTAATGACTGGATTCCATCTTAAAGGTCTTTTCCAATCTAAATGATTCTATGATTCTAAAGTACTTTATTATAATCAGAAACAGGAAAATGACTGTGTTGGGGTTTTTTTGGTTGTAGAATATTTTACTCTGTTTTCTCATGTATGATTGAACGGCATTATAAGATTCAGTGGGATTAACCGGGATTCCTGTAGGGAGGCTAGGAAAAAATCATCTAAAGCTGACATGCTTACAAGACTCACTACAAGAATCCTAATATGTATTTCTAGATCTTTGGCTGTTTGGAACAAGGGGGAGAGAAAAGACAATTTTGAAAGCATCTCCAAGGAAAGTTTTATTATGGGTATAGCAAACACCAAGGAGAACTTGTTTCTATTTCTGTTTCAATTTATTCACTCTTTCACATGGTTTCCTTTGTTTGCTTGTTATTAAAGGAAAGATTAGGAAAGTTTGTCTCCATGTGGGAACAGGCTAACGTTCTTGAACAATCTTACTGTAGTTTAGTTTACTAAAACTGTTCTGTTTTTACTAGAACAGTGAACACAGGACTGTTTAATTGCCTGCCTTGGGACAGCCAACTTAATTCACTGCCAAGTGAATTTAAATAGTCAAGAACAAGGCATATACATCCAGTCAATGAATTTCCACACATGGAGTTACTCAATGATGCCATTAGAAAGTCGTATTTTTCTTTACAGCAAATTAGCTTACAAGTGCAAACAAGCCTTCAGATACCTTACAGGGCATTTGTGGGACTGTTTGGATTAGTGCTCACAAAGTGCTCTCAGATTCCAAGATAATATAGTTTACAAGTGACTGAAAAATATTACATCGTTGTGTTGGAAAAGCCCTTTTTACTGGCGCCTGAGAAATAGGCAGGAGACTGCTTTGTATGTGTGTAAGCTACCTCACTTATTTTGTGGTGGGATAATGTGAATGAGGGAAGAGTGAATCCTTAGCTCAGAAAACTCATGTAAATCTACCCTGAATTCAAGAGATCTTTTAGTCTCCACACTCCATCTTTTCTCCATTGAATCTGCAATAGTCCAGATATTACAGTATGTGATATATACAAAAAAAAGGAGGTTTCAATATGACAGTAAGACAAAAGATAGTGATCCTAATGGATGCTACTACCGGAAAACGGAGAGTGGAGTATAGGATGATATTATCCTAGAGTAGCACAGGAAAATAAACCAGGCAAGCTCAAGACATCAGATGGAAAAGTGATAAAATAGCAATATAACATTGCATGCAGCAGCCTCTCCTAAAGTAGATACCAACCTGTTTTCTTGTCTCAGAGCAGGCAGCTCTATCACTGCACACAAAACCAGCCAGTGCTAATGTGAATATACCATTTAACTGTCAGGAAAGTCTAACTGCAGCTAGGAAAAAGCAATGGGAACAGAAAGTATTTCCTTTCCACAAATGATTTCATTATCTAAAACTATTTTTCATTCCAGGTAAAAGCAGAATATAAAATATCTCTAAATTCCCCTAAAATATCTCTAAACTCTCCTCAAATAAAGTAGCAGTCACTTCTAATCTATGTAAGGTGACAGTCTTTGAACTATTGGCTCTTTCTCTAAAGACATAAGCTTAAGGGCTATTAAAAGCTTAGGTATTTCATCTGTCCATCAGCCCAGACAATAGGCAGCCAGAGAGATTTCAATTGAAAACCATCCTTGTAAATAGGATATCCACTGGAATTTAAAACAAACCCATCTTGGCAAAACTGTTTCCATTTCAATAGAAAAAAAGAAATGTTTAAAAAGTTTCAGCAGAACTTTTCTAGCCGGCTTTTAACACCTTTAAAATCTCATTAGCTGCTCAGAGTTTGGTCAAGGTTATTCACCACAGCCAGCAAATTCCTAAAGGCACCAAAATACTGTCTATAAAGAGTCATTGCTTTCCCAATCAGGAGTGGGAAGCACTTCCAATGCTTGGTGTCTTGGAGAGACACTGTGAGACTGACAATATCCCAAAGAAGCAGTGAGGGAATATACTGAGCTTTGAATTTATTAACCTTGGTAATTTCTTGTCCAAGGTCTCCCTAACAGTGCACATTAGAATAAAGCAAACTGGAGGCCCCTGGAGCTGTCATTTCCGCTCCACTTCTAACCTTTGGAAGGATTAGCATTATCAGTGTTTACTGGAGCCTTAGTATGTCATTTCCTGTTTGCTCACCCAAGGTGACCCAATGTTTGCACTTCCCATGGAGTTGCTCCCAGGCTGAGCTATCAGGAGATGTTAGCTCAGAAAGCTTCATGGGCTGCAGAAGGCTCTGGAGAGGGAACGAGCTGACATCTACCCTCAAGTAGCTGTTTCCTTCCACCCTATTAAAGTTTCTGCAGACCAGGGACTTCTCATTAACAGAGGCCATAGGCCCTCAGAAGGTCTGCTAGTTCTGGCCACCTCATCCCACCTAAAGGAATGGTCAATTCCTCATGAGGAAAGTGAAGTGAAAAAATTCCAGAAGTCTCCTATATACTGTTAGTAGGAAATATCTTTCAGTCACAGAAGAATCATTCATGGCAGTGATGGTAAAAGGGAAGAAGTAGACACACTAGATCACAGGGAAATGGATTTTCTAAAGGATAAGGGGACAGGTTTTTCTCTCTGTCTGTGATGGTCCTAGAATGACATAATGCACTGGCCAGTAAGAATGATAATTGAAACACTTCTGTGGAATCAGGTCTTTTCCCTAAGTCACTTCTCCACAGCAGGCTAAGGAAGCATGTTGCTGAGAGGCTGAAGAAACTGCCACTGTTCTGTACCTGCCTTTTCTATACTTTAGAGGGATCCCATCCACAGGACTGTGGCATCTTTCCTGAACCCACAATAATGTTTCACAAGATTAAAATTTAGCCTCCTGAAAAACAGTTGATGGATGTTTCTTATTATAAAAGGCGTGGCTAAATAAGCTGATTGAGTGGAATTATCTGGATACCATAAAGGAAAAATCTCATGAAACACCTAAGCAATTCCTCTATAGACATATTGCATTATTCTTCAGGAGAGGAAGACCAAGCAGACAGCAGGATGCACAGGGAAGGAGAAAAAAAGCAATAAAGCCCTGAACTAGAACGCCCTTGAGGATCCTAGGAATTAAGATTTGTTTTAAACTGAAACATTTCAGCTTTTCTGAATTACTAACTGTATAAAAGTCAGTACTTCTTAACATTATCATTTTTTCATCTATATGTCCTATCCTGAATTTATATAAGTATGGAATTTCCTGCACTGTGAGGTAAAACGCAGCACTAACTACCAAATCACCTCATTTAAACACAAAAAGCACCATTACCTGCACGCTTGTGAAGAGAATCTCCATTCCTTTGGAACCAAGGAAAGTCTCCCTGCCCAGCTGGATGTTGGTGATGTACTTTAGGCAGAGCAGGAGACCCCTTCGAATGTAAATGTAGTTGTTGGAGACATCATTGCGATGCCAGTCTTGGTAGAGTCTCAGCAAGCCACCCAGGTAGCCCCTGTTCACTGCCCGGCGGCTGTTGGACTCTGAAAGCAGAGAGAAAAGGCTGAATTAAACTCTTTTCTGTTTGAAAGCAGTGTGGCAACTCAGTGCTCAAACTCAGACTTTAGCACCTGTTCATTCTTACTTAATGGTCTTAGTTAACAAAAATAGAATTTTTTTAACTTTTTAAAGTTATTATTATTTAGGGTGTTACTTGCTAACCATGCACTAGGTTCTTGGAATCATACATGAAAAAAAAGAAGCAGTCTCTCTCCTGTCTATCTGCAAACAGCTGCTCCAGAACCCTACAGATGAACCACACCATGAGTAGGGAATGGGCAGAGCCCATATATCCTTCCATGTGCTAACAAATTTAATTCCAATTGCAGCACTACAAGATTTCCTGAAACTGCAGAAGCTCTTGAGGAGTGAGAAAAGCTAAAGAACAGTAATATTAGTCAACAGCAGGTCATAAAATCTTCTGAAGTGTTGTACTTCAGTCCTGAGAGAAAACCTTGCTGAGATCAACAAATTCAGAAACCTTGTGGCTGTACAGTCCTGTCACAGACAGAGAAATTATGTTTAACTTCTAAATGTATTCCCACACATGCTTGTACAGTGAAGGTCATGAATAAAGTGATTCTGGGAACCCACAGTATTTAAAAATTAACAAAACACTAACACAAGCAATAGCATTTTGGGTTTCTTTTCTGTTGCTTTCTTGCTCCAAGATTTTAAAGGTCATATTCAGGTAATGTTTAAAGGCTTTACTACATAGGCAAGAAAATTAAAAAAATATTAAACAAATAAACTATATAAAAATATAGGAGGATAGTTGCAATACTGCCTTAAACATGTAGCTCCAGGATTTCAGACTGAAAAGAGAAGACTATAAAACTTGTGATAAAAAATAAATTCTGCTGAGTATTGTAAAGCACATCCCTTCACCCATTGCATTCCTTCCTGCCTGTCAGGACCAACATGAAGCCATACCAAACTCCAGGCTCCCTCCCTTCAAACCAACCCTGCCTAAACATCTTTTCCTGACTGGCCCTGACATTCTTTGCTGTGACACACGTTAGAAGCTGTCAGGAGCTCAGTAATCAACGGAGGGGCCAGGTAGCATGAATAAGACAGGAGCTCAGCTTCCTGAATACCGATCAGCATCTACAGCTCACAACAGATGGCTCTTGGTACGGGTTCTCCAGAGCCAGTAGGCTCCAATCCATTTCCAGTTCATTAAGCCAAGTGCCAGAGCCTCTCACACCTGGAACTTTAAAGTCACCAGTGGGGATTTGCAGGACAGGAGAGGAAGCTAGAGGTTAAGAGAGAGAATAGAAAGATGCTGTTTGAAGAAAATCAGTAACAAGGGAAGCCATGGAAGGAGCAAGCAGGAAGCAGCATGGGCAGCAAACCTCAGTCCTAGTGAAGAAGCAGATGGAGACATTGGAAAGGCAAAGAAGTCACCTAAAGTTGTCTCAGTCTACTCTCTGCAATACATTAGCAAACTCTTACCTGGAGAAGGGATTGGAGGGCTATTTTGCTACCTGGCCTGGTCCTGGAATTTTATCTACCATTGGCACCACAGGGCTGGCAACAAACAGCACCCCCAGACTGGTCTACCAACTCATTTTAATCCTGCTCTGCATCTTCACACCACTCTGCTGACATGCCCTCACACTGACCTGCTGGTCCCACAGCTACTCCAGTCCTACACAGCTCTGCCCAGGCTCTGCACCTTGGCCTGCAGTTCTCTAGCACTGTATCCCCTCGCTGTTAACCACCTCACACTAACTCTGCCAGTACATCCTGTATTTCAAGGCTTAGTGGTTGCCAGCATGTAGAAGGTCATCCTCCTCCTTTGACCTTCACTCCGAATTTTTGTTTTCTATTTGACTTTCTACAAGAAAACTTTAATTGCTTGAGAATCCCTTATCAATCCCAATGATTTTATTCATGATTTCCTCTTAATCCTCAACTAGCTGTCATGTTTACTAACCTGCAGGATGCCTAACCCCTTAAATCAGTCAATCTTCCTTGAAGAATTACTCAGGAAGCCCTGTAAAAGTCAATAAGTATATAAAACATGACAAGAAGAAGAGAGTCAGGGAGTGTAAGGTAGGGACAATTTAGATCAGACTCAGAGCTTCCCTGAACTGTTCAGGGACGGATGAAATTGGACTAGATCTAGAGTTTTATAGCCTCTAGCACTTTGTGCTTGAAGTCTAAGCTTTCTGTGTCAATGCTGATAGGAAGAGGGAAAAACTGGAAAGCACTGTGTGTAGAGCTTCTTGGGGAATTTATTTAAAACAAAAAAATAAAAAAATTCTCATAAAGTATGTTTGTGATTTTTTCCCTCACATCTTCTCAAGACAGATTTCCACGTTTCAATTCCAGCTCCATAGGGACCAGAACACACAACTGTCCTATGTCTCAGTTTTAATACTCGATGAAAAGCATGGAGGAAGCTGAGCAGAATAACTTTGCTGTTTCCTCTGTGGTAAGCTAGGAATAAAACAATTGCTTTGAAAAGTGAAGCTGAGATAGTGTGTTCTGTGAAAAAGAGATGGAGAGGCAGGACTACAGTTTCCTCAGCTCTTTGATCAGAAGCAATGAGAATTAATTGCTGAAGGGGCAAAAAACACATTCATTTTGTTTCTGCTGTCTGATTTCATTGATTCTCCTCTGCTCTCCTGTGCTGTCAGTGTTTTTCTTAATTTTTTCTTTCATTTTTTTCAGTTCTATAGTCAATAAACTAGTGAATATATGAAGGAGGAAGCATGCCAAGATCTCCAGAAGGCAGAATGGAAAAAGGAGGCCTCCCCACCTGTCTGTGTCTGTTGGTCTCTCCATCTAGGGATGCACCAGCATGGGTATCTATCTATATTTTGGCACAAATACAGATGGTGGAAATGAATCATACAGGTACAAGCAGCACTGCACAGATTTTTAGGCAGCAAGAACCCATCCCTCCTGGAGCGAGTATGTAGGATCTGTGTGGTAAGTGGCAAAATGTCCTATGTCTTTTGACCCTCTTACTGTTATTCTTTAGTTAGTCCCTTCCCTTCTCCCTGGGTATGGTCAGTGTCCAATGGAAAGGGAAGCTCTCCTCCCACACAGCTTTCAGAAGTGCCCAGGGATGGTGCTTCCTATTTTGAGTGAACTTAATGACTCCTATTGTGTGAGGCCATCAGTGGGAACTCAGCACCAAACCCAAAGAAAACTGTTTTGGCTAAAGACTGGGCTGGTAAGTGGGCAAAACTGCATTAAGAGCAAAAATCTGACTATACATCAACCACTTTATGCTATAAATATCTGCAGGCATCAGGGCCCATTGAGCTCTCCCTCTAGCACCTGCCTGTGTGGCAGTGACCTCCCCTCGAGTAGGGATGTCTCTCAAGGTTATCCCTCGAGGCTGAGAGATCCTTTACCTGACACAAGACATTGATGGGTTGGTAAGTGAAATTTTTTGCATGCATGTAACATTTAAGGTACATATAGTAAGCTCACGTGATAATATTTGTATCCCATACTAACCTTAAGTGTAGTAAATAGTAGAATATTGCCCTCCAATCCATCTGTACTCATTAAAACTAAACTAACTACTAGGTCAGATCTGCCTGAGCGATCTCTGACTCTTATCCTGTGACAGTCTGACTTCATAGTGTTATTCTGGCATCTCTGACAGGGGAGCACTGTCTTCACCACCATGCCCAAACCAGTCCCTAGCACGCTATTTTCTTTGCAAGAGTTTCAGTTCTGCCTGCTGAGGCTGGGCTAGGTGATAGGGAATGCTCAGTGTCTTCTTAGTTTCCCACACTTCTACAACTGCCTCTCCACTTGTGGCTTCCAAGGCAGGGCTGTTAATCAGTGAAGGTTTAAGCACTGCAGCACAGAACATGTGGCCTGGTTCACCTGTGCAATTAGCCAGAAATGCAGAAGCCTCAAGTGGTTAAAGATGCATCCAAATTACCAAGGGGATCACACTAAAGAAATCCCTGGTTTTGGCAGAATTCTCATTTTGTGTTAGGGGACAAGAGACAAGGACAGACTCTAAAGTCAGGTTTCCAGTTTAGTAGATGACTAAACTGACCACCAGTGTTCCTGTGGACATTTCTGAGCCATCCTGACAGTCCAGTCCCCTTTGAAGTGTCTGCCAAGAACACAGGGACCACTGGAAAACATGCAGCATATTTAATCACAAAACTGTATTACAGTCAACTTGAAATATGATGAGCAATGCACTGCTTACCAGGCAGAACAAAGAGATATTTATCTTTCCATCTATCGACTTGAATCTCTTTGTTGATGCCACTCAGCTGATTCATTATGCCAAGAACATACATTGCTATAGTTTGGAGATAAGAATGCTCTGCTAAATTAACCCTATGCCCCCTAAAGCAGTGAAAAGAATAAGAAAATCTCCAACTTCCCCACTCTGCTCTAGTGATTGCCTCTTGGGAATAAACGATGCAAGATATCTCCTAAAGCAAAGAGAATACAGCTATTTTATTCGGTCATTGAGAGGTCATTTTTTGCTAGAGAAAAGCACAAGGATCCTCTATAGAAATAAAATTGTCCCCATGGAGAAACAGTCACACACGAAGTGCTGGGATGAGTTCAGATACAGAAGGCTCTACAGTTTCAGCAAGAAGCTGGTATTAGCTCAATTCTTGTTGGAAGCCAGAAGACTGGGCTATACTTGTGCCCTATACATTTCAGAATCCAGGCATTTATTTAAACACTTAGACAAAGAACACTGGCACAAAACTAGAGAACACAGATAGGATTTTCTAGCAACTACAAATGCCATGTTTTGCTCCTAGACCAGGAATCAGCCACAAGCTTAGCTTCAATACAAGAACAGCTCATTCTTTGTACTCCAAAATATTTGTTTTAGTTCCAGGTGTTGTTCAGTTCAGTGGCAGTCATACAAACTGTATTGTGATATGGGGATTATTCTCTACTTTGCTTTCATTTCATTGTTAATGTTATTAAATGTTAAATTACATGTTAAATTACAGAAAAGCAAGCCAAACCCTTACGAACTAACCTCAGAAGGAAACTGATTTTCAAAAAAGTTTCCTTTTTCTCCTTTACTTTTCAGTTTCATAATCTCTTCTGTTTACAACTCATCGGAAAGCCACAAATCAAATATAAAAAATACCGTTGCACAAAATTTCCAGTGTGATTTTTCTGACTGAAGTGGTTTGAAAGAGTTCAAATAAGGATGCTAGAATTTGGAAGACTTCCTCAAATTCAGGCACTGAATTTTCTGAAGCCAGATCATCACTGGAGGCACAAACCGTGCCCATGTCAAGACAAAGCAGTAAGCAATCACTATTAAGGATGTCAACAGAGAATAATGCAACTCCTCAACACAGGTTTCATTATGCCCACCCTGAGGAGCAAAACAAGAGGAAGTTGCCATGTGTCAGGAGATGAAAACAACCCTTTTCTCTGGAGCATCAAGTTACTTTCAGTTTGGGATGTCTATGAATGAAGAGTCTTGGGGGATGGAATATGAAGGATATACAAAAATAATTTTCTTTCCCACAAAGTAGTTCTTCTCAAAGAGAAAAATCTTAAAAGTATATAGAATCGAGACTATCTGCATTCTGAAGTTCAGGAAGAAAGGAGAGACACAAAGCTTGTTTTAGAAGATTATTATGAATGGAACCGTTTGCAAAATTCAACTCTGATCACAATACTCTACAAGTTGTGATTGTGGATTTGAAGCCAGACTGATACTGGAGTTTGAATCCAGAGATGGATAATAAAGTCTTAAACTAATCATGAGAGATGGGTACCTGGCACATTATTAGGAAAATCACAGACATCGTGCTGTTGGCTACAGGAACTGGGATGGTTTAACAATAGGGTATTTTGACTCAAGATCAAAGACCTGCATCACTGGATCTGTTGTAAAGCATTATGAATTCAGATGTGGAGAGTGCAGGCCTTTCAGAAACCCTAATCTGCTTCTGTGCTAGAACATCGCTTTCTGTTCCTCAGAATTGCCTGCCCCTCCCTGATGCCAGCATAAAAGGAAAAGAAAGACACTGATTATTTTATCCCACCAGCCACAAGGCATAATCCTTATGCTTTGATAAAGAAAGGAGCTGGTGAAAGGTTAAATAAAGGTTAGTTGACGGAAGATGAGGAGGAAAGAGCAGGAAATGAGAGATGAAAGGCTGGTGGGGGGAGGCAAGAGGATAAAAACACAAAAGGAGGAAGGAAGAGATATAGAAAGAGAGGGGAAAGGCCATCAGCAATAACTGCTGTTAGCACACAGAATTGTCTTGATGAAATAAGCACGATCAGGAGGTCACCACAACCTGTCTTTTTAAATTGCTCATTACAATTTTACTAGGCAAGCATTGCACCGAGGGCCCTGCCCGTTTCTCCAGCCTTTTCCCTCAATATCTGCTCAGCAAATGCCTCTGAGACCAGCTCTTGCTAATTTCCTTAAAGACATGCGAGCTGGTAATTCTGGGAAGCACAGATAGTCGGGAATAACAAATACAACCAAAATTAGATTAAAATAACCTGCTGATAAACAAATTACTCACCCAAAATACATATTGGATTAGGCGTGGTGAGAGTGGGGATCCCTATAATCACATCGCCACCGTGTGGCTACTGGTCCATCACATCCCCTCCAGCCTGCTCACCCCAGGTATATGCTTGTCTGTGCTTAGATAGCAGGGGTCCAGTTTTATTCCACTCCCCCAAGACTGGGAATGGTTTTCCTGTTTTTTTCCAGGGCGGTGAGTTCACTGGAAGCAATAGAGGCCATGGGACTTGGAGGGCAATCCGCACCTCCTAGCACTGTTCAAACAAGTTCCAGCTGGGGTTTGTCCCCTCCATACCTCAGGACTGCTTAGTGATGAGCTCCCCAGGCCTCAGTACAGAGCTGAATCAAGATATGAAGATACACATACAGGGAAGAAGCAGAACAAAGCCAAAGGACACTGGAAAAAAAGTAGTATGTGCACACTGGGACAGAGAGAAACAACTCTGGGAGAGTTGCAGTGCCTCAGCCCTCCTCAGTTTATAGCTATCAGGATCTACCTCCTCATCCCACCCTGGGCTGTGGTAAGCATCTAGAAATTGAAGAAGGAAGGATGGGCAGGGGTAACACTGGAAAGCTCGACAGTAACGTTCAAGAGATGAATAAAAAACTCCTGATGCTCTCATGGCATTCAGCACCTTTATAGATATTTACCAAGCTACATGTTCAGCCTGTATAATAATGCAGTTCAGTGAGAGGGAGCTTCCATGGTGTACACACAACAGATATTATGAAAACAACAAGACAATGGAGGAACAACTTGCTATGAGCTGTTTGCTGTGTCCGTGTGGGCGTGGACATGGTGGGGAACATCAGCTGGGAAAGTAGCATGCAAGGATTGGTAAAGCACTCTGGGATGCTTGAAAAGAAATAAGTCAGGAGTGAGAGACTGGAGGGTGGTCAGGCAAGAAGTGCCTTCTCTGTTTCAGTAATCTGAGCTTCCACTGATAGAAAGATGCAGCACTGCCATTAGAAAGGACCTAAACTTCTACTCCTCCATTATTCACCATCTCTGTGGCTCTCACCATGTGACAATCACTACACACAGGGGAACAGCATAACAAGGTCACACTCTTCTTGCACTGGGTTTTCAAGCATTTCTTCCCTGCTGTGAATGAAGCACAAGTTTGTAGTGTCCCATCACTTATTTCTTTGGACAATCTTAAACTTTCCCCTCTGAAACGCAACAGCAACAATTTCCCAGGTACAGATTGAGTGGTAATTTTTTCTTACACCAATGTCTTTTTTCCAGGCATATCTTGCTTCTTGCAGTTATGCACCTGTTAAATGAGCATTTAGCATCAGCTTCTGTTAGGAAAGAGAAGCCAAACAGTTTCTAGCCAGCCTCTGGCTCTGCAGGTGGACAAAGCCTCAAGTAGAGCTTATGGAAGCCTGAGGAGATGAAGATGGATGTTTCTGAATCCATCAGGGAGACACACTGCCATCTGCCTGCTCCCTTAAAAACTGCCGTGTGCTTTGCCATTGCAGCTCTGCTAAAAGCAAGAGGGACACTGACCCTCCAACACAGCTCTGTGTACAACCATAACCCCCCTAATCACTTTGGGCTGAAGCACTCAAGGATAGCACAGCCCTACAGGGATACCCTCAAGAATGGCCATGTTCTTGTCCTATCCGTCTTACAGCCTTCAGCCCCAGCAAAATACAATCTCCCCACCATTTCCCAGCAAGCAGGTCACTGCAAGTTTCCAAAAAAAGCTCACAATAATCAATCTACCAATTCACTCTGTAGCACTTTCCAGTATTCCTGCTTCCCCTTCACTTTGTGTGCCATCTAAAATATGCTAAAAAGAGCTTCTCAGCTTTGCTGTATACAACTCTATCCCCTTTTTTCATAAGCAATTTTCAAGTGCTATAGCCTTCACCAGATTTGACTTTTAACTTTCCAAGAACCCCTGCACCATTCAAATGCTCTAAGGTCATGGCCACAAATAAGTTAATTGTGACTAAGCAAGCTGTCCTGGTGCAATCCTGAAAAAGAATTCATTGCTTTTCCAAGCATGGTGAATTTAGCTTAAAGAACCAGAGCTATTTCTCACACCTCCTGACCCACACCTCCCAAAAGACACAACTTGCTCATTTGTATGCAGATACCAGAGCAGTCTACTCCAAAAGCCTGGAGCTTCTCATGTCCTGAACCACTGGACAAGGAGAAAACTAAAAGACATTTTCTTGGCTACTCAGCATCAGACTGCAGAAGGCATCCAAATACACAGTTCAGGCTGACTGGTGGTCTGTAGTGTTCTATTTGGTTGCACAGTATCAGCACTATTTCCGAAATTCCAGTCCCACTGCTTTAAAAAAAATCAGCTGAAAATAGATGATGTGTTACCCTAAAATCAGTTTACCATTCGCAGCCAAACAACACTGCTGTTGTTTGTGTCCTTTTCTCCCTTTCCATGGAAACAGCAACTAACTGGGAAGGGTGTCACAAAATGACTTAGTCACCTGACTCGGTCAAGGTCTGCAACACCCCCGACCAGCTGGTGCAAATGTTAAGCACAGCCTCTCACAGCAGGGCTGTACCCCAGCAATCACCATCTCTCTGCCCTGCCTGCACATTATCAGACCTGACAAACTTACAAGGGAGAATAAGGTCATCTGTTTTGGACAACAGAAGTTTTCCAAGTCTCTGCCCATATCGTTGTAACTGGGCAAGTACAGTGGTACAACAGCACCACAGGACAGAAAGGTCCTGGCCCCACTTTCCTGTGATGCTGGATCAGAGCAATAAAGGGTTTTTCACTGGCTGGAGAAGTTGCCCATTTCTCCCACTGTACCATGCCCCGGGACAACCACTGCTCCCTAAATACTCACAATAAGGTCTGGTCTGGCTGCCTTATCAGATTGCTCCCTGGCACATAGGGTGCCATCTCCCACAGAGCTGGAGCTCCAGGAATCATAACTCACATAGGAAACTACTGGACTACTGTCTCTTTCCTTTGTATTTCTCTTTGGGACTGAGGAAAGAGGCAATATCAAGGGAGAATGAAGTTCAACAGGATCATTCTGTCTAGCAGCACAACACAGAAAGTCAGAAAGAATATGAAGAAAAAAGCTTACTTGATTTCAGTAGAGCTGCCAGAGTCCCAATGGCTGCCCTGGGGAAAGAAGAGAGAGAGAGAAATAATGTCAATTTATTCAATAATTTTTGTAACCTTCATCTTCACAGTCTTCTGGGCCAGGCTTCCCAGATGGTCTAAGCCAACAGCTTATGATGGACTTTGGCAGAACTGCAATGTTTTACACCAATAGAGTATCCAGTCTCTGGAGCTGACTCAGTTATTCTAAAAGACCATTAGCCCTCCAGCTTTACTGTAGTGCTGATTTGTAATGACCATTAAAATTTAAAGCAACACCCACACATCCAGAGTAATCTAACAAGTCTTTAAACTACTGCCCCAAAGCTTTTTCTTTGTACCAGAGACTCAGCACATGCCCACTCCAGACACAAGTGCATCAGCAGATGATAACTTTTATATCAAGCTGGGATATCAATGTCAGTGTTTCCAGCCAAATCCCACTCCTTTTTCTATTTTCCCAAAACAAGCTTCACCCTGCCCTCCCTCCCGACTTTAACTGAAAACAAAATTGAATTTCTTTTAATTGAAAAAATGTCTTTCATTGCAGGGGTATGTCAAGGGGCCCACTCAGAGGAGGACTTGTAAGAAAGATGCTAAAGCTCTATAGTAAGACTGCTCGCAGTGAGTAAGTAGCCACAGGGGAGAGACAGGAAGGTTTCTGTTGACTTTCTGTGTCATTTCAATGTACAAGTAAGCAAATTAACCTGCCTGAGCCAGCACAGCACTGGTTTGGGAGCTGGTCATTAACATTTCAGTTTGAAAAGCTGAACTGAGATATCATTGCTCCAAACATCTGGAGGCAAGTTCCTCCCTCATGTGGTAAAATCTCCATCCCAATATCACCACAGAAAACTTTCTTTTCCAGTCATGTTCTGCTGGAGCAAGAGGATCTGTGTTCTAACCTGGCTTACTGCTGTGAAGTTTCAAGTGCCCAGAGCCGATTAAATAAATACAGCTACAAAAACCTCCATGCCCAAGGATTCCTTAAAATGTAATCTCTTTACAAACCAATCCCCAAATAAAATCATATTAACTTCCATACTGAGCCAATTATCATTCTGCAGCAAATAAATAAATATTTTTTGTCATCAAGCTGCTGTTCATTGTGTGTCCTAACAGCAGCTGAGACTAAAAGATTCAAGAGAGCTGGTTGTTGCTGATGTTGGGTCAACATCTCTATCTAAAGTCATTCTTTCATTATGAATCTGTCAGAGTTAAACAACAGCTTTACAAACTGCAAAGGAAATGCACACAAATACAGACAGAATAGGAAATCAGTAGCTAAAAATCTCACCAGTGGAAGCAGAGTCATACTTTCACTGCTTCTTCAGCTCCACCTAAACAGCAATTATTCAGCTAATGGGAGGAATACTGTCATCCACCAGCTATTCAGCTTGCTCAGAAAAAAGATACTCAGTTTAAAGTCTGGGACAAAGTAAACAACTCTAAGCAAGTTAAAATTCCACCTAGACCATCTCCCAAAGCTCACACTCCAGTATGTGTCTTGTAAAAAGAGGCTGCATTAACATACCTACATTTTACAGGCTTAATGTGATGTCTCATTCACATGGCAGAACATCAGAGCAACAAAGGAAGACCAGAGTATCTCTTGCTCAGAGCAGAAGACTTCTCAGTATTTCCTCTAGGCATCTCCTTTATTTTGCATGTGCTTATGAGCATTGCTAAGAGTTTCAGTAGAGCTCCACCACTGTCATAAAGTCAACACTGCCAGGAATCCTCCCATCAGCCAATAAATCAGCAAATCTGGATCCTACAATACTTTTGGGGTGGTCTGTGAATCACACTGTATACAGACAACTTCATTCATCCTTAGAGGATCTTAGAACTCCCAGGCCATGTTCTCAGACAGTGTAATCTCCAATTCCTACTATCTTTGAGTCCAAAGTTTCCCCAGTTCCTCACCACACTTGCCCCAGAAGACCTAAACTCTTCATGGCCATACCAAAGTTGATCCTTCAATGGCCTTAAGCACCCCTGGTCACTTCTTTTCTCTGGGCTTTGAAGGAGCTGATCTACTCCAAGTCAAGGGATAAGAGCTACTCGTGGTTTTGATGTGACCTGGTAGAACACGTGTGCAACTTGTAAAGCTGAGAAACCCAAAACTATCATAAAAATGTAAGTAAATCCATGTAGAGGGTCTGTGGGGTGGAAAATTCAGACATATCCTGAAAAAAATTTAAAAAATTAAAGGTGATGTCGCACAGATCCCAACACCACATCTCAGCAGAAACAGGAATTTTCATGATTACCATCTGCTTCTGAAGTGACATTACAGACCTGCAGCTGCAGCTAAATGGATTTCCCACATCCCAAGCTAACAGCCTAAACACATCCTCCTCTCAGACCATGCCTGTACATAGTACTGCAATAAAATAAAGCAGAACCAAACTGGCATGTTTCATCTCTTCAGGTACTGCAATCCATCACAAGGGGTTTGGCATAGGCAGGATGAAGCATTCTGCAGGTCCTACAGCACCTGTTCTACTGTTAGTCATAAGTGCAGACCCAATAGGCTGACCTCAGTGATATGCATTGCTTCAGAACAGATTTTAAAAGAAAAAATAAAAGTCATTAGGGTAAACTCCAAAACAGATAAAACAGATTTAAGGGATAAAATAGACTTACCAAGAGTGGATCAAGCCTGCCTAACTTGGTATCTTTCTCTGATAAGATAAAATATTTTTACTAGACAAGAGAGATATGGTAAATCTAATTTATCTGTACTTCAATAAAGCATTTGATATGGTGCCACACTGAAAATTGTTAGGCCAGCTGGAGAACATTCTTAGTGTAAGAATTACAACATGGGCAAGGAACTGGTTAAAGAGGCAATGACAGGAGTTGTGCTGAAAGAGGAATTATTAGTCTAGAGGGAAGTTATGTGTGGAAGTCCTCAAGGATCTTTTGAGACTGATCTTATTTCATCTTTTCATTAATGACCTTGGCACAAAAAGTCAGAGTATACTAACAAAATCTGCTGACCGTGTGAAGTCAGGAGCTGCTGCCAATAGCAGGGAGTTCAGAATATCTTTCAGGAGTAACAAGATGTTCTTGAATTCTGAAGCAATAGAAATGTGATGAAATGTAATAGTCAAAGTGCAAGGTTAAGCATTTAGGGTTTAATAAGAATTACTGTTATGAGCAGGGGCTCATAATTTGGAAATGGGTAGAAGGATACCCTGGATATATGAGCCCATTAAAGGATGAGGACAAGCATGACCAGAAGGGTGACAACCATGAAAAGAACAGATCAGGTCTCAGGACAGCCACTGCCAGTGGAGAAGGAGAAGCATGAATGTTCTCATACAAGGCTTCACCTGTGTGCAGCACTCAGAAGGAACCGTGCAGAAATGTGCCAAGGAAATCATTGTGGTAACGGAGACGTAACTCATGAGGAGGTTTAAAGATCACAGTTTAGTCACCTTAGCAAAATTATAGTCAAGAGACAACTGGATTTTCCTCCACAGACACAGTGGGTGGTGGAGAAGTAAACACTGAGGAAGACAGAGAGGAGACATAGGCTGAAGAACAAATTTGGCATAAGGACGAATGGATATAAAATGGCCATGAATACTTTCAACTGGAAATGAAAGGATGGGTTTTAAGCACTGGAAAATGAAGGTCTGAAATATCCTCTTGGCAACAATGGGACAAACAACCTAATGACTTTGAAAAGACAGTCTGGATTCCTTATAATGAGACTGCTAGGCCCCATTGCCAGTGAGGAAAGGGTCTGAAAAAAGTGACCCAGGAATGACTGTAGTTCTATATCCCTACATTTTAACCATAGATATAACGGCAGTGAAATAAGAAACAGGAATTCCAAGTGCAAAGTTAATTAGATAGCTCAGAAAACAGCAGCTGCACCAGCTTAAGCTGGAAGTCCAAACAGTCCAATGTCCTGTGGCCAACAGTGACCAAGGAGGTCTTGCGTACAAGACCACAGCAGAAACACAGTGCTAGAACTTGCAGAACAGACTCAAACTCCGGCAAGTCACAGTCCAGTGATACATAAACTAGCAATGGTACCTCTGGGAGAGGTTTTAGGTCTTAGTTGGTTTTTTTTCCAAATATTTGCCTGGAAACTTTTAAACTTATGCAAATTCTTAGCATTCATAATTATCCTGGGAAAGGAATTCGTACCTACACTGTGTAGAGACTTAGCTACCTGCATTTGTTTTAGTTTTGGACTTTCAGTCAGCATTGTCATTTACACATTAAGCCAGCTGTCAGCAAGTATCCCCAGATTATTACCTACTGTTGATGCTGAATTAATTCAAACATACAAAACACCATATGGGAAACAAATAGTAAGTCATAGGAGAGGATGAAAAATAGGCTTACACTGAAAGAAGCAGCAAGACCATTGAAGCATTAATAGGTTTAGAGCAAACCAGGCAAATGGTGTTTGTAATAATATCAGCACCCCTTAGCACCATATGGCAAACCAACAGCATCTTTTCTGGCATCAGAAGATATAATGAGATGAGTAAGCCTGGGACAGGAAGACAGAGACAGGAGTTCATAAATTGTGCACAAGAGCAAGGATGGGGTGGGGGGAAGATGGGAACACGAGAAAAAGTTTAAGAGCACAAGAAAGATGACTTGATGAGCCATATGCCAGACCAGAGAATTTGATAGCATGCCCAGTGCAAATCTCTGCATTTGTCTCGAGAAGGAATGGAGGGAAGACAGAGGGGATGGGGGGGGATTAAATCATTAAAAAACCTGCCAAATCTGTCCAGATGTCTTCCTCTGATTTTCTGTTTTCTGTGGTAATAGGTTAGCAAAATCTAAGCTGTTTTGTCAAGTCCTATGTCTCAAAGGAGACTGACTTATATATTAAAAAAAAAAAAAAAGAATTATGTATAAATAAAGTTGCCCTGTCTTATAAGGCATAATAATAAATGCTGCTCCATAATCAGAAAACATTAAAAACTCCCTGTAGTAGCAGTCGAGACAGCCACTCTGAAGAATGGAAATCTTTGAAGTGTTTC